AAGAGCTCATAATATGAGTTAAACACATTCTTCCAAGGCAATATGTGGTGTGTTATTTGTATTTGCATGATCAATGACGTGATCCGTAGCCTGTAGCTTTGAACCCTCATCTGAATAAAGGTCTTCTTGTCAGCATTAATCACATGTCAAGCTGAGCAAATGAGCAAAAATGCACATGTGGACAGGCTTGAAGTGATCCGTTGTAATTAAGACGTTCAAAAGGCAATACATGCTTGGCTGCTTATTGATTGTAGGGTGGACGCAGGTTGCACGGGTGTGGTATGCTACATTTTCTTGTTTATGTTCCTCGCGAGCAGAAACCTTGCATAACGTCGTTGACGTATCTCGCTGTTCTCTGAAAGCGATAGACGTTTTACTCAGAAATGGGGTTATATGACTAAGAAGACGCTGGCTGTGTGAGCATAAAAGGGTACATACGACGAGAGAGCGAAAAAGCCACTGCAGTATTTTCCGTTTTTCCTCCGCGGCTTCGGCCCGCTTTCGCGAAAGCGTCGGGCTGTTTAGAAACGTACGTTTTCAGACAAATTTGTTTTCTGACCCCGAGGAAAATGTGACAACGTTTTGCATAACGCAAAGATGTTGTTCGTGAAACCATTGTGCTGATAAACCATGGATTTCGTGACCAAACATTGATGAAATCAAGGTAGGACCATTGCGTATTCTGTCAAATAACAATATAACTTGACGATGTTCTTGAAATAACGTAGAGGTTTGTTTTAAGGAATTGTTGTTACAAATTTATGTCCGAATATACATCATTTATTGACAGGTATTTAGCATTTCAAGACGTTAGTGTGTCGTTTTCATACAATTCTGTGGCGCATAGAACCTCAACCTAGAAAGACACACGGATAAAAATGAATTAATTATTTTATTAATAATGCTTTACAAATTAACCCATGTCCTCCCATCTGTAAGTTAGCTGGACCACGTAGCCCACCTGATATTTTCTAGAGCTATTATGTGTTCCCGTGCAGCCCAGCATAGTTCCTTCAGTTATTTCGAGATATTTAGGCCCACCCAACAGAAGCCCACCTCACTCATTCCCTCACACCCTTTTTATGACCCCCTGAGAAACAACATGCTTCCATATACTTTAGTTTATGGAAGGTGCACTGTAAAAAGAAACATTTAAATTCATTTGACGATGTTCTTGAAATAAGGTAGAGGTTTGTTTTAAGGAATTGTTGTTACAAATTTATGTCCGAATATACATCATTTATTGACAGGTATTTAGCATTTCAAGACGTTATTGTGTCGTTTTCATACAATTCTGTGGCGCATAGAACCTCAACCTAGAAAGACACACGGATAAAAATGAATTAATTATTTTATTAATAATGCTTTACAAATTAACCCATGTCCTCCCATCTGTAAGTTAGCTGGACCACGTAGCCCACCTGATATTTTCTAGAGCTATTATTTGTTCCCGTGCAGCCCAGCATAGTTCCTTCAGTTATTTCGAGATATTTAGGCCCACCCAACAGAAGCCCACCTCACTCATTCCCTCACACCCTTTTTATGACCCCCTGAGAAACAACATGCTTCCATATACTTTAGTTTATGGAAGGTGCACTGTAAAAAGAAACATTTAAATTCATAGCAGCAGTATGTCATGAGATTTCTGAACTGCCTTTAGTAACACTGCACACTACTGTTTAACCAATTTGAATGTGATTGTTCACTAAAAGCAAAATTTCTTTACAGCTAATAAAATCTTATGAGGGCAACTATTGTTTTTTTTTTCATAATAGATCATTTGTTGAACAAGGAATTTTGTAATCAATTTTAATGAAATGTAAACAATTTAATGAAACAAGATGTGCTTTTTAACGAATAACTAAACATGACAACACAAATAACAGCATATGGCAAAATAATCCTATAACTGTAACTGCATAATTTGCTCATACTGCAATGCCTGCTGGAAACTCAAGGAACCATACATTTGCAGTGTTTTCTAGTATGTAAATGTTTATTCAGACAACTCTGTTAGGCTTGGTGGGTCAAAATGTGCAGAAATATTGTTGCTCTTGCATTTATTTATTTATTTTCTTTTATTATTTTTTTTTAATGTAGCCTAGATTTACAATAATTCAAATTTTCTCCTATATGTGATTTAAAAAAAAAACAACAACAACTTTTAATTCCCTTTTTACAGTGTGGTGCTGATTGGACAGCTCCCATAAGGCAAGATTGTCTTTGCTTGTGCTGTTTGGACCACAAGGCTTACTAATAAGACATTGAAAATGACAAATACAAAATGTGTTTGGATTTGTTTAGTATAATAATTTCTTTTGTTTACTTGTTTCATTGCTAAGGGAAAAAATATATTTAAACCAAATCTAAGATGGTTTGCAGGTTTTCTCTTTAAGCTGGTCTCCTAGTCTGCCAAGAAACCAGCTAAAACTGACAAATCAGCTTAGGCTGGTTTAAGCTGTTTTTTCAAGCATTCATACCCATGGGACTCCTGCCACTAACAGAGTCTGTTATGTGCCAATGTTTGTGGCATTCCTTGATATTTTGTTCATGTGTCTGATTTGCTTGAAGGTAAATGGGGTATATTCAAACGCAGGATGAAAATGCAAATGCCATTTCTGAAACAAAACTGGAATTGGATGGAGAGAAAAGCTAAAAGTGAGCTAAGTAGCTCTGTAATATCAGGATATGGCTTGGTTAAGTGTCTGGCCCATACGTGCACTGCACACAAGCTTTTAGATGATGTGGTACACCAGGCCTCCCTTCACCCACCCCATTTCACATTCTGCAGCCTTAGGGACATAACGCATGTCCCGAATCGACATCTCAGTGGAGGTTTTGTTCATAAGGAAGGCAGGTTCAAATCTGCTTGTGCTATCATGTGGTATCTTCTAATCCAGTCTACATCCTTTCAGCTCCCAGCACCCTTTCATCTAAAATAGAAACATCCATCATAATGACCCAAAAGAAACCATACCATGAGAACTTATGCAAGCACATATCAGGAAAAAAGTCCAATGAATCACTTATCACAAAGGCAATTAATATTATTGCCAGCATAATCCAAAGACAAACATTAAGTATCACCTTTATCTGCTCATAATGGAGGGTGCTTTTCATTTTTCATGAATTTGATGACTCATCCGGGATCTAGTGCCAGTCCCTCTTTAACATGCTCTCAGTTTAGCAACAGATTGTTTTGATGTGTAAGGTAATATTTTTAGATGTAAGGCTTAGCGTTTTACTTTCTTGTGCTGAACATATCAGTTTGTGTGATTGGATGATGTAACAAGGTAGTATTGTTCAGTAAGACTTTATCTTTCCACAATCAAGAATTAAATCTAAATGACAATTTTTTTTAATTGTGACAAGATTGTGTGGGTTCTCTTGACTTAGATTTTAAGTATTTAGGCTATAATGTAATACAAGATAGTAGTAGTTGGTATAAAAAGTTACCGAAGTGATGATGACTAATGATCATATGTTTGATGAATGATCAGTTTCGATGTACAGATTAGTCAGCTTAAATTCCTTTCTTACATCCAACTGATCTGTCGCTACTTCCATTTCAATGCAACTCCTGAAATTTTAGATTCTTCCATTTGTCTACCTACATTAAAGAGCAGCAAAGTTTATACAAATATTAATGATATTTGTAATATGAACAAATGTAATATTAATGTCATATTAGTAATAAATATTATCACCCCAAATGTTAGTTACATAGAGTTTTTGCAGTTATAATAAAATACTGTATTCAGGTTGACTTGAAGAGGCTGACATCATGTTCAAGCACTCTATCAGATCCCAGAAGCAAACAACAAACAGTGCTAATATACACTCACAGTATGCTGTCATACTACTACCTAAAAATGATGATCCTAACCTTTATCTCAGTACTGAAATCTCAGTTGGCCACACAGTGATTCACCTATAATGAATTATTAAAATATTGGTGTCTGGGACACTGTGAGCCCAGAGACTGCTGTCAAAGTCCCTTTCAGGGAGAGTCTTTTCACTTGGCGGCCATATTTGCAGTGCCTCTGGGAAGCTATTTCAGGTGTCCAAAACCAACTCCTACCTACTTGAATGGGGAAAGCCTGCAATCTCAAAAACTACTTGCCACACTCACATTTAAATTACATATTTCAAATCAGCAATAAAATGTCACTCATAAAAACTCTCATAATTGTTTTGTTTTTTTTAATGCTCAAATAGTGATTAAAAAAAAAGCTTTCAAGCTGAAACAGCCAGTGTGAATGTGCAATGACTTTACCTATTGTCAATTGGCTCTTGTATTTAGAAGGCTGGACATATTATATTATAAGTAATACATATATAAATAATGTATACATTACTTATACATTATAAGTAATGTGAGTGCACTGTCTTTGTATGTCTAAAGTCTTTGCTTTTCATAAGCTTATGTTAAAGCAGGGGTCACCAAACGTGGTCCTGGAGGGCTGGTGTACTGCAGAGTTTAGCTCCAACCCTAATCAAACACACCTGGGCTAGCTAATCAAGGTCTTACTAGGTATACTTAAAACTTCCAGACAGGTGTGTTGAGGCAAGTTGAAGCTAAACTCTGCAGGACATCGGCCCTCCAGGACCGAGTTTGTTGACCCCTGGGTTAAAGGGATAGTTAAGCCAAAAAAAAAAAATTCTCATCCTCAAGCTGTTCCAAACCTGTATGTTGTCTTCTGCTGAATACAAAAGAAGATACTTTGAAGAATGTTAGTAACCAAACAGTTTCTGGTCCCCAATGACTTTCATGGTTTTTGTTTTTTATTTTTTCCATACTATGGAGGTCAATGGGGACCACCAACTGTTTGGTTACCCACATTCTTCAAAAAAGTGGAGGCTTGGACTCGGAAACTGCATTTATTCAGTCTGTCACAACTTAAGCAGATTAGATATGAACATTTTGAATTCAAAACTGGAAAGAACTTTCTTGATCTGGTAAGCTCTTTTCCCAGTGGCTGACTTTTGGCATTAAGGGTGCACCAGGTTCATGTCAGTTGCTTTACAGGTATGCACTTTTGGGCCAGAACAAGTTGCAGTGTGGACAAGAGTACTGTATAATTCTGACTGTGTGAGCCTAGATGTCCAGTAATGTCCTTTCATCTTTCCAACATAGAACTTGGCTGCCGTGGAGGGTACATAACAGGAGAAGAAGTTGCTGCAGGATGAAAACATGGCTGCACCCATTTCTGCACCGCCAGGACCTGACAGCTTCAAATACTTTACCAGGGAATCTCTGTGTGAAATCGAGAAGCGCATTGCTGAGGAGAAAGCCAAACCACCACCTAAACCAGACAGCAGCTACCGCGACGATGATGATGAGAACAAGCCCAAGCATAACAGTGACCTGGAGGCGGGCAAGAGTCTGCCCTTCATTTATGGGGACATCCCTCCTGGCATGGTGGCAACACCATTGGAGGATCTCGATCCTTTCTACATGAATAAGAAAGTGAGTGTGTCATCATGTCTATTCATATGTCCTGCAAAGCTGGCCTTCACACATTATATTCTAAGCAGCACACTATGGATCATTATAGATGTGGAGAAGCTGATGTGTTTTTCCCAGCTTTTTTCAGGTCATTTATTTTTATTTTCTTATATAGAAACCCCTGATGGTGACACACGGCTGTAGGATTTACTTGGTAAACATGCCAATATGAATGACTTCCTCCTATAATCCGCTACAATGCTGAAGCATTTGTTTGTGGTTTATGTATGTTGTAGATTGTGAATGAGATGATGCTTTAAAAAGTTTTGGAGAGGTCAGCAGTGGTCTGCTGAAGCTTTATGGTTCCAGCTGACAGACTTGTTTTAATTGTTCCAGCAATAATCCTTTAGAAAAGAAACGCTCCAGTGCATTTAAAAGAACAGTGCACCATATTAGAACAACACTGAGTAGTGGGACAACGGTAAGATAGTTAGGCCTAATTAAAGATGGCCTGTAATGTTGTTGTTGTTTTGGTGTTGAAAACAAGACTACTTGTTTGGTAGTCTTTAGTGTTGCTATGAGTATGTGAAGAGAGAAAAATTGTGGATAAAAGTGACTTCTCTGAAATATATTCCACATTTATCCAAAAATGTAGACTAAGTTTGGGTTAGGTAATATTTTTAAAGAGATTTTGTTGTAAAAGAAATCCATTATGCTGACAGAGACTGCATTTATTTGTTCAAAAATACAGTAAAAACTGTAATATCTTAAAAATGTATTACAATTTAAATTTAAATTTAAATCAATTTAAATATTTTTTTAAAATATATTTTAAAATGTAATTTATTCCTGTGATGGTAAAGCTGAATTTTCAGCAGCCATTAGCCCAGTCTTCAGTGTCGCATGATGCTTCAGAAATCATTCTAATATGCTGATTTGGTACTCCAGAAACATTTCTTATTATTTTCTGTGTTGGAAACAGTTGTGCTGATTAATATTTGTATGGAAATGGTAATTTTCAGGGTGTTTTTGATAACATTATATATGTCTTTGCTGTAACTTAGAATAAGTATTTTATTCAGCAAAGCATTTAAAAACAAACCTTACTGACCTTACATGTTTAAATATTAGTATATCCATGTTATTAACAGAATTGCTGGGTCCAGTCAGAGCTCACAATTAATGGTTATTTTATTGCATTTTGCCACATTAAAAACCTTGAGCTCAAAATTTAAACCTGGAATTGTTTTAGGTATTTGAAATTTAGAACAAGTTAGTGTTATGATGTAACGTGAATATGAAATTGTTAAAATTCTGAACTTCTGAGCTTCCATTGAAGCTCAAGATGCTCTTTGGATCATTCACAAATCATGCTAAAGGTTCTTCACAATCTTGTGGAGTAAAAACCAAATACCACATTTTAAAATTGACATTTTCAGTTCAACCTTTCATTTAAAATGTTATGCTGATAATATAATTTATGGTGAAAATGATGTAAATATTATAAAAAACACATGCTCTAAGATTTTAAATGAATGCACAGTTTCTTGATATGTTACCAGTCATAAAACAGTGGTTTCTTTTTGATGTTGCAAATGAGCAATATCAGATGCAAGGCAAGCTAGTCCTCAAACAGATTTTCAGGAGCAAGTTGTTATGAGATGTAGCCTACGGGTGGAAGATGAGGTCATCTTTTCTGTGTGAGAGCTCAGCCCAGAGCTCAGCCCTGCGTTCCTGTTTGGCTTGGCGCTAAGTGCAGTGGTGAGACTTCAGCAGTGTTTGCCACACTGGACATTACTAAATAATGAACAGACTCGTTTTGTGCGTTAATGCCTGTTAATGTGTGCATGTGTTGAAGCGTTTCCCTGCCTCCCTCTCTTGCTCTCTCTCTCTGTCTCATTCCTCTGCCTCCCTCTCATGCAGCACACACTGACTGTTATGTAACCGCCTGCTCCATGCACAGGAAGGAGATTTCAGTCTCCTGATGAAAACCTCATGGAGGAGCTTATGTGAAAAGCAGTCTAAAGGAACTGAATTATGTTCCAAACTGAATTCATTTATATTGTAACAATCGCTCACATTAGACCTTATATTAGAATTTTTTTAATGTTTAGATGTGTCTGCATTGCACTTTCATGCACATGCCATAGACATGTTTTAGCTCTTGATGTCGAACTATCCTGCAATCTCAAGGATTCAGTGGCTCTTTGATTGAATGCTTTGCCAGCATTGGGATCAGATCTCCCTGCATCCCATTGTCCTTTTGTTTCCTCATGCTAGGCTCGATTCGCAGCCTACAGCAGTAGTGAAACCTGAGTCTTGAGGCTCAGGGTAGCTCTCTTCATAGTGTAAAACCAGCTGAGAAATGGACTGGCAGGTTTTAAATCCAGACCCGTGACACTATCTGAAGCAATTGGCCTAGGAAGCTTTGCTAGAGGAGCAGCTGATGAACTCTGAGTCCTCCATCACAGATGATTCAAGGAGTTGGTTATACAGTATGTTGAAAACAAATCAATTGTGAGACAGAGAGGCTTAACAGGATTTACCCAAGTAGGACATGTTGGATCTACAACCTCCTCTGTCCTTAAAAACATTGATTTATATTTATGCATTTAGAAAATTCTTTTATCCAGTGTGATTTACAGTGCATGCAAGGTATGCAGTTAATTAGTAAGTGTGATCCCTGGGAATCAAACACATGACCATGCCTTTGCTAGTGCTATGCTCTACCAGTTGAGCTTCCACTTTCTAAAAGGTGCTGTAATTAAGCTGATTTGCTAAATTCCATTTTCCTAAAACCCAGCTTTTTTATTTTATTTTATTTTTTAGTAGTAATTTTTTAGTAGTCATTGATTTTAATTTTATAAATTTTGTTGTATTATTTTTTAAATTCTTTTTTAAATTATTATCTGTTTTATAGTCATATATTTATTTGTGTTTCTATTGTATTTTCTGTATTATTGTATTATTATTAATATTATTATTATATTTCATATTTCAAAAGTGAACCGAACCGTACCGTGCTGTACCATGCAGTGTAAAAGCACCATTAGAAGGGCTCTTCAAAATGTGCCATGTAGCACCATTGCGTCTCCTTGTGATGACACAGCTCAAATGGCCATCTCACTCCTCCCTCACATCTGCTCAAAGCCTCAGCACTCTCAACATCTTATAAATACTCATCTTATAATGTAGATTTATACATTATAATCTCATTTCTGTTAGCGTCATACCTCAGTACATATGCTGTAAAATGGCTACATGCAGGAACTAGCCTGTAAATTTTTCTCTGTGCTTTATAAAGAGAAATACAAAACAGTCATTCTCTTAATTTTAATAAACCTAATTAAATCACAGATTTGAAAGTGAAGCTCACTGTAGATGTTTGAAATATTTTATAATGTATGAAATTAAATGTTATAAAATGAAGAGAGTTTGGCCTTTGATTGTGTCGTAAGTTTCTATTGATGTGGCAGATGCTGAATTATTGGCTCTGAATTTCATTCATCAGTTGCTGCTCTGCTCGTCATGTTTAGTCACCATCTCTGTAATTTCTTCATGTTTCTCTCCTCTCCATGTGTCCTCCACAAGTCTGGTCAGTGCCTCACCTGCATCTTTTTTTTTTTACATCACTTATTCCTACTCACTTGGCATCATCCTGTAACATAATCTCTCTCTCTCTCTCTCTCTCTCTCTCTCTCTCTCTCTCTCATTTTCTGTATGCTCTCGTTCTCTCTGTGTCATAAAACAGAAGAATGAAACAAGGTAATCCAAACAACAGGTTTAGTGCAGGTTTTGACAGATACACATGGATAGCAGGTGAGTGATTGGTCGACAGGGCAATGCTGAAATAGAATGTAAGAAGGTAAGTCCATGCAGGTAATTGGTCGGGTAGCATTCAGGAAGGAACAACGAGGCCAGACAATAGTGAACTGAGGTGAGCAGTTAATATGCTGTTAATATCCCCCCCCCCCACAGGCAGCTCCTGATGACCGCAGTGGGCAACGACGAGGGTGGCCTCTGCCTCTTGGTGCTGGACGATCAGGGTGAATTCAAGTAGCAGAGATGGGTCTAATATGTCATCACGGGCAACCCAAGATGTTTCCTCTGGCCGAACCCCTCTCAGTGTACGTGGTACTCTAGGTGACCGCTCTGTAGTTGGGAATCTAGGATGGTGTTGACTCAGTAGATGTTGTCCTCCGAAGGATTCATTGGAGGAGGAGGAGGCATGTCATCAGCACCAGACCCTGGAGAGGAAGGAAGCAGAGGATCAGTATATGGGTTCAATAGGGATACATGAAAAGAAGGTGAAATTCTGTTGTGAGGAGGAAGGTTTAGCTTGTATGTGATTTGTTGATCTGCCTCTGGATTGTGAGTGGACCAACATAGTGGGGACTCAGTTTGCGACAATGAAGTCGAAGACCGATGTCCCGTGTTGAGAGCCAGACCTTCTGCCCTGGATGGTGCTGGGGTGTTGCTGATCTTCTAGCATCGGCTTGACTCTTGTGTCTCTGAACTGCCCTCTGCAGGAGTATGTGAGCTGAGTCCCAAACCTCTTGCTCTCCTGGAACCAGTGGTTGACAGCTGGAACATCAGAAGGCTCACCTGACCAGACAAGTTAACGGCTCCAGCTTTCTTGATGTTCATGACAGTATGACTGCAGGTATCTCCCGATTTCTTTTATCTTCCGCTCAGTCTGGCCTTTGGACTGTGGATGATATCCCAATGTTAAACTGACTGACTCCGAGAAACTGGAAGAAGGTGTTCCACACTCGGGAGATTAATTGAGGGCCGTGGTCAGAGACAATAACTTCGGGTATCCCAAAATGACGAAAGACTTGCTGGAAGAGGGTTTCAGCAGTTTCAAAGGCAGTGAATAGTCCTTTCAAAGGAATCAACTTGCATGCTTTGGAGAAGCGGTCTACAATGACAAAGACACTTGTGTGAGAATCCGAAGAATGTAAGTCTCCACCAATAAACTGGTGTGTGGTAGGCGTTCTGGCGCACTATGGCTGCCGTCG